TATATACAGTATGTATATTTGGTGCAAAAAATAAATTATCCATTTTACTGTCGAAATATTAACTTCTTCAAAATGAGATTTAAAAAAAGTGTACCATTTATATGCCGAATAAATTATACACCGCTTTATAGCCGAAGATAAAAGTTATATAATTTTGATTAGCCAAATTATATACTTTTTTGATGAATGATTGACGAGTGGCATTATGCCGAATAAATCCATTTCGACTAGTGATATTATAGGAAAGTAAGAAAAAATTAAAAATAAGATTTGAAAAAATAACATGTGGATCTATAGTGTAGTGGTTAACACTTCACAGATCAAATCACAAGATATCTATTCAATTCCATGTGAGGGTAGTTTAATAAAATTAATATGATATCTGATACTATAACCTGTAAAAGCACTGTTTCTTATAAGAAACCGTTTCATATACTAATTCAATAGATGTTGAGATTGTAATTTTCAGAAAAAGTGTTATGATATGATGATCGTCCGGTTGGTGTTATAATGATTGCCAGAAATTGCAAGGTACATAAGATATCCATTTTCAACAAGTAGGTTTGGTAATCCTTTTTCTAATATCCAGTGTTTTTCATACAGATCTCTGCTCTAGTCTTATTCCAATCCAGTAATAAACCAGTTTGATAATACTTATCTTGAGAAAACTTTTGGCTATAAGTTTTGTTCTTTACAATGTGTAAGTCAGTATTCAGGCAATAAGTACCAGCTATAAGTACCTTGAACATTTTTGGGTATTATTGGACAGATAAAAAATTAAATGGTTAGTTCAGTTGCAGATGGTGGTAAAAGGATTTATTCTCAATAAAGCAAGCAGTGATTATATAGCTTTATTTATTATAAATATTACCCCTAGTTAAAGATGGGTTCTTAAATTAAAGGCGAGGATATAATTCAAATGTCTCTCACTATTAAAAAGGTTTTTTTTTAAATATAAGATTAAAAAAAACTATTTACAAAGGTTTTTTGCAATTTAGATCACTTGATCCAAGTGTTTTTTAAATTATGTTACTATTAAAGTAATGAATAAATAATTATGTCCTTTCAAAAGGGACATAATTGATCTGTGAAATTTTATATGCTAAATAGTTTAAGGACCCATTCTTACTCCTAGTGCCTTCTTTCAACTTTACCTTAATTCCTCCCTAATTAGAAATAAAACTGTTCGATTATTGGTGAAAATGTATGCTACTGATCCAACAAAGAAATGCCTTTGTCCAGTAAATTAGCTTTTATATCTAATATAGTTAGGAATAAGCTATAGAAAACGTCATTATTTGGGGCAATCCTAATAAGTATTGAATATAATTGACAATCAATATATTATAACATAGTCCTAAATAGTAATGTCTAAAGATATATGTAAACATCCATTATAAGAAATAAACATCCAGCCAGACAATTATCATTGGTGTACTTTAAAAAAAAAACAAAAAATAATATTTGAAAAAATATCTTCTATTTATATAAAAATAATTAATTAATATTTTGATTGATAAAATATTCTAGAATATTCTAAGAACTTATAGAATTTTTTTAACCAATATAGAATTTTCTAGAACTTTATAGAATTTTTAGAATTTTATGAAACTTTATTAAAGAATTTTTTAAAATTTTCTAGAATTTTTTAAAAAAGATCACTTAAAATTATATATAAAAAAAAGGTTTCTAAAAATAATATATCTAAAAAAAGATTCCTAAAAATTTTTTATTAAAATTTTTGTTATCTTCAAAAATAATTACTCAAATACTTATTTATTAAATGGCATTGTATATTAATAAAAATATCAATATTTTAATCTTTTAAAAACTTAAACCAATAATTTAATTTTTGAAATAATTAATATATATAACAAAAATCAAAACTGATTTAAATATATTTACAATAATAATATTATATCAAAATATCTTAATAACTTTATCAGTTATAACAAAATTAACTTATAATAATTTTATTAACTTAATAATTTATAAATAATAATTAGGAATTGCGAAAATTGAGTCAAATTATTAAGTTATTAATATTGTTGTATTTATAAATATATGTATATATTTTAAATTTTATGTGTAAAAATGGTTTTAAAATTCGTCTAATATAAAAGTCCATAAAATAATTTACCAAACAAAATCCTTCAAAAGCTCCTTACCATTTAGAAGCGTATCGCAAAGATCATTGTTGGATTGTTATTTAAGATATGTTGAAAGATTCTTTTGAAAACAAACTGTATATTACATAAAAATGTTATTTATACTAAAAAGGAATGAACCAGAGTAGGAATAATAATACCTAACATTTTGTAATCATAGAAGAATATTGACGTGAATAGATTGTCAATTAAACAAAGATGGTATAGTCTTAGTATATGCAAAAATTGTAATGACGTAGTACAAAAGTGATAATTTAATGACGTAAAAAAGAATCATTTTATCAAAGTAATATATCTTTGACGTTAACAGATACCTATATGGCGCGGGTACTGTTTACTATGAGGTATCCTCATGTCAATGCACTATGGAATCCGAATTGGTCAAATAAAAACCAGGGATCTTATATTACAAAAAGTTTACGACTAATGTACGTCATCTTTCGAATAATATTCAAGTCTGCGTAAATTATATACTACGTAATTATTCTTTCATTACTAATTTCATAATTCTTACGTCAATTAAGCGAGAGGCGGATTTCAAAAAATATATAAATTTCCCATGGTTTGGGAGTTTTTTTTAATCAACATTTTTTCATAACCGTTTACAAATCTTTTAAATCTTCAATTTACACAATCTCATTACAATCTCATTCTATTTTCGCCAACAAAAATGACTGATCAATCCAACCAGCCATCTAGAGTCCACGGAAACTCTACTTACTATCAAGGTAAATTAAATATAACGCGTCAAAAGCAACCGTACTTTTTTTTTTTTTTAAAAAAAAAATCCGTATTAATTTCTTTAATCTTCATAATCTAAGGCGCGGCAAAAGAGCTCACCGGTAGGGTTACGGGAAATGAGCAGATGAAGTTGGAAGGAGAGGCAGAAAAACTTAAAGGTATATCTCGAATAAAGTTATCGTATTTACGTATTCACGGAAACTCATCTAGTATAATAACTTATTAGGACAAGGTGAAATTGATGCTGCAAAACTTCAACAGAGGGCTGAAGGTGAGTTGTTTTTTCACGATTGATTCTCAACAAATTTATATATTCCCAAGATTCACACGCTTTGCATCTAAAAAAGGCGCCAAGGACAAAGTTACTGGTACCGTCGAGGAGACAGCCGGCAATGTAATTGGCAACGAAAGAATGCAAGGTGATTATTTTTGATCACGAAGAATAATTAAGTTTCAATTAAAATTCTTGCTAATCGAATTTTGAAATATTCTGTAGCCGAGGGAGCTGCTACTCGTATTAAAGGCGACTACAAAGCCTAATTTGCTTATTCTTTATAAATTCAAAATGTTGGATTTTTTTTTTTTTTTTTTTATGTAATCAAAGTGATCAATAAATTTTTTATATTTTTACTTTAAAAGAATGCTATATAAAAAAAAGTGGAAAAATTTATAATTAAATAAAAAACGAAACAATTTTTTGATTTTCCTTAAATGGTTTAATTCTTTTCGTTGCTGTAGGTTATTTTAATAGTTTGTTCTAATTATTTTTTTTTTGAATATACCCTTGAAATTGAATCCAATATGAATAAATAAAGTTAGTCTTTACTATGCATATCGTATCCCATATAGGTTCAA